TAATTCCAAAATCTTATTTCAAATCCATCTGGACCCTTAGTCCATTTGTAACTTTCCAAATGTTCTAACCACCCTTTTGCTGTTTATTCCCCCCCCCAAATTTTTTTTAAGTCCTTATACTTGTATTTAATGCTTCTTTCAGTAAGGATTGAAAGAAACTCACCCAATGTTTTCAGGCTTGTCGATTCAAAGGCTCCTAATAGCTAAAAAGCAGTTAACAAGTAATTTCCAAAAGTGATTAAAAAAAGAAGTATGGGAACCCAATATCCTTAAAGGCACCAGCCATGGTTTGAGCAAGATGGCTGTCCCTTCTCTCCCAGAGCTCTAAACCTTCTGGAGACTGCTGTCTTGTGGTCTCCTCGTGAGGAGCAGCTGTATGGAGCACTTCTGAGTGATCTCAAGTCCTCTCCTGGTCCACAGAGGAATTACAAAGAGATGATCTATTCACTGGCTCTTCATTCAACTGTGGTCTTCAGCTCCACTTTTAGCAGAGCCGTTTTCAGTTCACCATTTCTTCTCCAGAAGTCATTTTCCTCCAGTCCTTCAATGAAAGCCCAAATTAGGATTTTAAAACACACTGAAGATAGAACAGAAAGATTTGATGTGTAGTAATACAGTATAATGAATTTATATTGTATGCATTACACTAAAATTGAAGTTCCGTGTATCTTTGTATTATATTACATTAAATTATGAAACAATTCAAACTTGCATATAAAACCAACACACTTTGCCAAATGTTTTTAAATAGCATTATATGCCTCTAGAAATGCTTTTCCTTTTCACTAGTCTGTGCATCTTGTTGTTAACTTCAGTGTATTTTTGATAAACCTTATCTTTCATTCCAGCCAAGATCTTTTTAGTTTCTCTCTTACTCAAACAGTCCCTCATTTTAATGCTTAGACATCCACATTCAAGTTTTTTATCCACAGTTTCGGAAATTAAAGATGTGTGTTAAGGAGTGAAAGGAAGGACAGAGCTACCATGTTGTAGAGTAGCCAAAAATAATAAAAAAATGTTTATCAAAATTCTTCTGGGTTATGTTAGTGATTTGGGTTGTTGTTTCTCAGCTGCTTATATTTTAACTTTTATAATGTTTGTTATTGTTTTTATTTTATTTTAATTCTGTTCGCCGCCCAGAGTCACTTGTTGAGATGGGCAGCCATATAAATTGGATAAATAAATAAATAGATCTCCATTTGTATCCGGAGATGAAAGGGAGATAACCTGCATTAACTCCTCCCTGAAGAATCACCATTTTATTTATTTACTTGTTATCAGTAGGGCATCTAAATAAATTTGTGAACCTCTTATATGTTAAGGTGAGCTTCATGTTCTTTGTTACTTTTCTGACTATCCTAAAAGTGGAATGATGGTCCCAATAATAGGTGTAGGCATGGTTCTCAAGCCTTTATGTACAACCTTTTTATATCGACCTTTTTAATACCTCAAAAGATAAATCCAACTTTGCTGCCAGCTGTGCTTACTGAGGCTTAATGCCTAAATATAGAAGAAGTTGCTGGAATGTTGCCATCATTCCCCTTTTTCATTGGTCAAGTAGCAGTAGTGAAATGGTGGGCAATTCAAAGATTTGCTGATGCTTCCCAACTTCTGTGTATCAAAGTGGCAGCAGTAAGCCTAAAGAACTAGAACACTTTATTAGCTCTGTCCTTACTTCAACCACTTTAAAGAGTAGGAATAGGAGAATGCTGTCTCAAGCCTGCTGAGAAAATTCCTACTTTCCTCAGTTGCTTGCTAGAAAATCAAGGAAAGGGTATCAGGAGGAAAACAAAAAAAAAGCAACATTATTTTGATGTCTAGAGTTACTCTCAAGCAGATCCTCAAAGGTGGTAAACTAATCCTGCTGTTCTGTGAAAACATGTACACAGAACCAAGAGGAAGAGGTCTCCTGTCTGTAAAAGGCAAAATGCTAACTTTGGTCTTGCCTTCCACTAGGCATTAATCCAGGGTCATCTGCAGGAGGGGTCAAAAAAGCCAAGATGGCAACTGTGCAGTCAAAGGCCCACCCCTTTTTTATGTGCATCACAAACATACAAAAGGCACAGGGCCATCTCAACTTTTTGACTCCCCCTGCAAATTGCCCGTGTTAGTCTTCTGCTATGCTGCAAGTCTTTTTGTTTTATTTCAAGCTCCTTCCCTACACATGTCAGCAGTGGTTCAAAAATATTTGCTTTCAGTTTTTTGAATGTATTAGTTCCTGGAAAAAAATAATTGATCTTTTTGGTGTGTGCATGTGTATTGAATTTAAAATTTTAATGTTGTGTTATCTGTACTTTGTTTTTAAATAAAGGTTATCAATTGGAAAACATCACTGCACATCCCACTGCAAGCAAAACTAACTCCAGAGGCATCAGACCTTATTATTAAGCTCTGTCGAGGACCAGATGATCGCTTAGGCAAGAATGGTGCAGATGAAATAAAAGCACATCCATTTTTTAAATCTATTGATTTTTCAAGTGATCTACGGCAGCAACCTGCTTCTTATATTCCTAAAATTACACATCCCACAGATACATCAAATTTTGATCCAATTGACCCAGATAAATTATGGAGTGAAGATAAAGAAGGGAATGTAAATGACACACTTAATGGGTGGTATAAAAATGGTAAACATCCTGAGCATGCTTTTTATGAATTCACATTTCGAAGGTTTTTTGATGACAATGGGTATCCATATAGCTATCCAAAGCCTATTGAATATGAATACACTAATCCTCATAGATTAGAATCACAGTCAGATGAAGATGATGAGAGGATCAGTAGAGAAGTCCAAAACCGTGATCTAGTTTACATTTAATAGAGAAGATAAACAATTTTTTTGAACTTCTCAAATCTATTCTGTGAAAAAAATATCTGAGATGGTGTTGGAAAGCTGATTCTGTACCTATCTGGGTTGGGTAATGTTAATTGTTCCCATTTTTTTCCATGTAATTCTTCTCATAACAAAACAAGTCCTTTTTCATCATTAATTTATTCCATTATTGTTAGTGATTAATATAGAAAATAGTAATATTAGGAAAAATAAATTATAAATTTGAGCTTTTTGTAAATAGAAAATAGTGATTTCTTTTAGGAAATGAGATGGCTATTTTTATATAAACCACAACCATTACTTTTTTCCAGAATTTTGTAATGGTTGCCTGTCTTGCATTAGCTAATCCTTGGTAAACTCACAGACACTTTGTCTAGTTGGGCATATTATGAAGTACCATATATATAAAGCAAAGAAGGATAAGGTCATTAGTTCTTATGAGGTCTGGCTGTAGAACACAGCTGCAATCTAAAATTCGTGAAATGACTAACCATTGAAAATAGTGTCTCTGTCTTCATTAAATATAAATAAGATTGCACTTTCCGACTATCTGTATTCTGACAATAAATGAATCAGCGTGTTGGATTATAATTGTTTTCAATTTTGCATAACAAATTGTAATTGATGGTTCCATGCAGCAACTCAAAATAGGTAGTAGAAATGAAAATAATGGTTTATCACAAAATTAATGTTAAAGGCTTGATTTTAGTTTTTGTGGTTCTCATCCTGCAAATTTTGACAAAACAAGATTAACAATATTTGGATCCCCATGATATCTAACTGCAAAATCTCTTTTAATAACTTTATTGCATACTGTCCAGCACTCCCAAATTACTAGTTTAGAATAAATCCAGCCTATGTTTAACAGGGGTTATTTATAATTTACATCATTTTTCTATTCTGAATCAGTGCCCTGAAATTTTTTTTAAAAGCTGCAATTTATGCATCTTTTGCTATTGTAGGCTTTTTTCCTCTACTGGCAATACAAAATATTCTTTTTTGTTTACAGATATATAGCATAGCACTGTGTAAATATTTCAAGCTATCCCTTGAACTCCTGTGTTAGTATTCTTACACCTAAAGAATCTCCAAGCTCCACATTCTGCGCTTCCTAATGTCATATTTTAAAATATGTGTATTCTCTGTTTTTTTTAAATGTTTAGAAAATCTCTTTTTCCAGCCAGTTATTTATTGTTTATTATATTTATGTTGAATGTTTCATTGAAAAGAAGAGTGGTTTACAAGTAACTACTCAGTAACATTCTATCCAGCCTGTTTTTCAGGCAAAACACATTTAATTTCAGCAATAGAAGAACTTGTGCCTTTGTAGCAGTGTCAGTTACTTTGCTTTTCTTTTGAGCAGATTATTGAAACATAAGTACAGTTTAGACAAATGGAAAATGTGTGTCTTCAAAAAAAATCTGTTTTCCAAAATGTCTACTATATCAATTCTGATTCACACTTCAGCACTGTATTTCTTACACGTAGTGAGCATAGTAAACAGGTTATGCACCTTTTCTCAATCAGTATGCTCTGTGCCCTCCTATTCATACACTGTTCATACACTGTTCTGCAGACAATCACATAATCTTGCTCCAAGCTACCACCAAAACATAGGTTCTATGTATGGAGCTAGAATGCAGACAATGCAGTGTACAGTTATAATTTTTAAGATTTGTTTGTTTTGTAAAATAAGTCTTATTTTAAAGAGGATTGTCCTCGGTTTAATATTTAGGATTTCCAGTTAAACTGGCAAATTTTTATTATTATATTTGTCTTGCAATGAAATATAATATATTCCTGGTTAAAGCCAGATAAATCTAATCTGCTATTGGGAAACTGCTTTGTAAATTTGAAAACAGAATTTTCATTGATTAAGTTATTGAATACAATCAAAAGTTAAGCATATACTATACTGAAATTGATAGGTTTTTAAGTACACAGATAAACATCAGACACATTAATTTTCATTGGAAATTGAGGAAAGTTGATTTTTCTGGATATGTATGTATCTGTTTTCAGCTAAGAAGTGATAGTGTAATATTCGTATAAGTATATTTTACATTAATTTTTTTTAATTAAGCTTGTTAATATTTGTATGCTGAGAAATACATGTGCTATAATTCTACTAGTTTGTAACATATAAAAATACTGCCTCTGCAGGCCATCCCAAAGAGATGAAAGTTACTCAGTTTTGGTGGAGGAGAGTGTTAAATTAGGACAGCTAAAATTCATACCTTGAAAAACTTCATGTAATAATACGTTGGTGTGAATTTAATGTATTGCAAGCCTTTTTTAGAATGATTCTTTTTCACTGAATGAAAACACTAGTGTATTCTAACATACCTGTAAATTGTCTTGGAAAACAAAACATTCTCTATGACCAATCGCGACTATTATTCTTGCCTATGACAATTCATTTTGTGCATTTCTAGGATTTCTCACATGCAGGATTTTTTACACTTCATTTTAAAGTAATCTCTAGTATCAATCCAGGGTATATTGTAGTGTGTGTTGTTGCATTTATCTTTGTATATATTTCAATTCTTCTGGGGTTTTTCGCATTTAAGATTTGCAGCATGTTCAAATTCATTTTTGCAATGGAATTGAACAAAATACAAATAATAGCTCCACATTTGGGTTTTGAATAAACTTATTTTCAATTAAACATAAAACAATGCTTTGCTCTTCTAATATATACATATGCACTGTATTTATAAAATGTTGTATTATATTATTGTCCTGTAAATATTGGTATACTGTTCTCTTACATTCCACCCTAGGGCAGGCCCTTTTACTGGAGCTTTTCTACCATATTTGTAGCAGAAACTGTAGAATGTATGATTAAAGCTAATTTGAAACTTTAAAGCAAATCTGCATTTCCAGTGTACAAAGCTGTGATGAAAAATATGTTCTTGGGACTTTGTTGATACATCTAGAAAACGTAGTGTGAGTGAAGTAATAGATGCTGCTTTTATCCCAAAGTACTATTAAATTCTCTCTGCAAGTATGTCTGTTTTTTGAAATGAGACACTTGTTGCAACGTAATATTTGAATCTAATAGTAAATGGAGTGCCTTCCTCTGAAAGGTGCTGTTCAAAATTAGCTTTTATATTGCATTTTTATATATGCTTTTTATATTACAAATACTCTGCTGATAAATATAATTTTTATTTTTAGAAAAGCAGTGCTTTGGCATACTATATACATGCATCAACTCTGCATATTTTTGCTTGTAATAACTGATAGATTAAATTTCTGGAGTGTTGTACAGGTACATTTACATTTTGAAATAAGTTTTCTTTAGTGTACCATATGTTAGGATAATAAAATTTAAGTTCAGTGACTAAGTTGACAGATATAATTTATAATGTTAAAAAATGTGAGAGTTTGATCTTCTGTGATGAGTGGGAATACAAAATTCATATTTACTTCATGGTATGCTACTTTTTCATTATTGCCTGACCCAGTCATATTTTCTAATTACATTAAGAGAAAATTTACAAGGTGGTATAAACAACTTGGTAATCTAAGAAAGACACTATAGTGTAGCAAGTTGGATGTAATTTTAATGGAATTTGCATTCAAATCTTGTTTTAGTTGGCAGTTTTATTATCACATTTTCAAAAAACAGTACAGTACTGCTGTTACGATAGAGCAGGGTTTCTCAACTGAGGTTCTGCAGAACCCTGGTTGAGAAACCCTGACTGTAGATCATGCACATGGATTTGAGCATATGTAGAGATTAAACTTGTATCATTTTAGAGCTGAGTAGACTTGATAGAAGTCTGCCCCCTATCTTCAGCATACTTGTAAAATGTCATGGTTGCTACTCAGTTACTTTTCAACTACTTAATTGTAATCAGCAATGTAATAATTTTCTGCCTGTTGTGTTTGGTTTTTTTTTTAGGTGACTGCCCTCTCGCGGTGCCTGGAGGCTTTGCCTCATGACTTCTTATTGTGTTGATAGAAGTCTGCCCCCTATCTTCAGCATACTTGTAAAATGTCATGGTTGCTACTCAGTTACTTTTCAACTACTTAATTGTAATCAGCAATGTAATAATTTTCTGCCTGTTGTGTTTGGTTTTTTTTTTAGGATATTGATCCTAATTTCATTTTCTTTATATTGCCTCATGACTTCTTATTGTGTATCTGCTTCTAGGTGGGCTTACAATCTCAAAGTAGCAGTTTCTTTACCTGCTCAGGTTCCGCAAATAAATTAGCCTGGGACATTTCTCTAAGAACAGGAGCAGCACTCCCACAAAAAGTCATTTGTTTATTTTGCAGTCTTCTCACTCTTTACTACTGCTGGCCATGATTGGGCATAGTAGGATGGCTGATGCTTTTTTTCATATCATAATGGGTCTCCATCTCCTGTTTTTATGGGTCTTGAAATTGCTTTAGTTTGTATTTTCAGTGTAACAGATTGTTACAAATGTAATAGGTTCAAGTAACTCTTTTTGTGTCATACAGGTCAGACACTCCACTATTAAAATGTTGAATGTTCTTAAGTTTGGAACAAGAAAACAAAGGGAGAAAACAAATTCTAGGCAACTCTTCCAATTATTAGCCATGGATCTACCTAATGTTGGTTAACCATCTATGGTGGTATCAGTCATCACTTCCTTTTATTTTGATATTCTTAGTGTTCCTTAGAGAAGGTCATGTTGAGTTGGAGCAGCATTTCACAAATGTTATTGTTTAGCTTTGGGGCTTTTTATAATTATTTTATTTAGCAAACTTAGCAATTTTTTTTATTTAGCAAATTTTATATAGACAGAGGTTACAAATAATTGATAGTGCCATTCATTAATGATCTACCATCATAAGCTCTTCAGTGTTGGTTACAGCACTTCATGGGTGCAGATTTGGTTTAGGTATTTCTGATTCAAGTTGCAACTACTTTCTCCTCAGAACTGAAACTAAAAATGGAGGGGTTTTGGTGTTTTGGAACACAGCTGCTTGACCACAGGCAAATAGAAATAGGGTTAAATAGCATTTTTAACCACTTCAGGTATTGCTTTGGTACAAGTAGACCCTGTCTATGTAGCAGTCCATTTATTACTATGCATGTCCACAGCTTTTACTTTCTTATTCCAGCCCTCTGTAAAATTCAGTGGCTATTAGACCATTGTTCTACCACAGATGCAATTTTCTTACTATTTTAATGTTTTTTCCGTCATATCTTTATTAATTGCTTCTGAATACTTTTGAACTCTTCTTAGTGAATTTTTAAAACAAAGTAAACCTAGAAAGCAGGTATCTCTGAATATTTTGAAGAATCCTCATCCTCCATAATTATTTCAGTGTACTTTAATGGCCATTTGGAACATCATTGTAGTTTTACTCTGTGGAATCAGCAGTTAGGTTTGCTCAGCATACTGCAGTGAAATGTGGCTGATTATGCCTCAATATGTTGTATGAACCCAGGCAATATGGTTAAATTTATGGTTCACTCTGCTGTGCAAAGCCAGGTACTCAATTTAAAAAATATTTATGAGTTATTACGTAATTTAAACATAACTCATGACTATGAATGAGTCACAAAGTAGGCAACCACATTTAGCCTGAATGTTCTGCAAGCTGTTGCCCCTGTGATCCATGATTCATTGTGTTGTGTGTACCCAGAACATGAGGTTGGGTAAAGTAGTAGTAGTAGTGGTAGTACTCAGTTATTTAATAATTTATTAAATTTATATGCTGCCTAATTCCCAGCAACGCTGGGGAGTTGCTCCCAGCAAGACTGGACTGTTGCCAAATTAATATGAACAAATGTGTGATACAATGTAGAGAGTATTAATGGATATTATGTTTTCGACTTCCAAGCAAAAGTAATGATTGTGGAGAAACACGTGGTTTAAGCTACCCAAATTACTCAGCAGAATTTGAAAATAAGTAACTTCCTGGTCCTCTAGTTAAATATTGCCTTGCTGTATTGTATCAATTAACACTATTACTGTATAAATGAGGGTTTTTAAATCCAAAGTTGGGCAAATGTCATTCGAAATCAATTGGGATAGAAAACTTGCCCGCTGTTTAGTGTCATCTCAGTTCGTCTGGTTTTAACAAAGACAGGCTGTACATTTTATATTTTGCCCATCACCACGGCGATCTGGTTTCGCGCGTCCGCGTCTCAGTTTTATGGTGAGCGTGCGGGCAGACTTAATGTGCACACTTGGATTCCGTGGTCTAAGCTCTACCCGCCTCATTTCCTGGTTTGAATGATGACCCGCAGAGTCAGCAAGAGGTTAATGGAGAAGGCGGAGGAGGAGCGGGCGATAACTTCAGCGAGGAAGCTTGAGAGACACCTCCGGGTCTCTTCCCATCTTTGGGCTGCCGGGGCCGCCGAGCCGGCCACGCTGCTCCCCTCCCTGGGAGAACTGGCGAAGGCCACCACCGGCACCCCTCGCTCGCGCCGGGGCAAAGCGGCGGCACCACCCGTCGCCGAGCAACGGGAGAGCTCCTCCTCCTCCTCCTCCT